GACCATCTCCGATTACCGTGCTTACTACATCGCACGACATTTCACCGTTGAAAAAAAAAATATTATAATGTTATAACAAATTTTTTTGAAGTTTCATTCAGCCATGGTATACTAATTTTATAAGATATTTTCAAATAAAACGTATAACATATATTATAAATTTAGTACATGCAACATTTCGACGATAAAATTGTTCCTTTGGTTCGACGAATTTTTTAATTCTCCCGCAGGTCGAGTAATCGATCTCGGTTGATTACACGCGCGTGAAAACCTCCGGGGAAAACGCGTTTTGCAAAATACCCGCAGGTGGGCCGCAGCTTCAGGACGTGGCAGCTCGCGGGAGGAAAATTATGAAATTTATCCCTGAAAATGAGNGTACATGTGTGTAATAAATTTATAATACCTATGCGTTATAAATGTCTGTTGATCAGGACCTGATATTAAACGTTTTTTCTGCAAACAAATAAATTTGACATATGTTCTGGGCACGTTCGAGGACGATTTTAGAGACAGTCCGTACTTTAGTCGGCGAGAAAAATCTTTTTGCAATTATCGGGTACGATAGGTACATAATTAGCAGATACATTGTTCATGACGCTACCGGGGTCATCTGTCGATTGTGAGAATTTTCTTAAATATTATTTAAATATTTCTCGGACTCAATAATCTCGCTACGATGCTTCTCCACCGGTACCATCGATGCTTGTCTTCTTTCGATTAAATTTCTTTAAAATTAAACTTACGTAAATGATGATAAAATTGAAAGCTCATGTAGAAAAATAATGCAAACAATGCGTACCAAATGACTCTCGAATATCAAATTTATAATTTTACAGCGCAATTTCACGAAATTACAACACGGTGTTATAAAATTGTAAGTTTACTTAGAATTTTATCATGAATGTATATTAATTCACTGTTAGGACATCAAGTTTATAATTCTACCGCGACCTTATCTACTAAAAGTGTATGAATTTTATGAATTTTGTTTAACAATGTACCCAGGAGGCGTCTTCGACCTACCGTACACTTTACGGTCGTCTTCGCCAATATCACCGATACTTGTCATCCCTCGATTAAATTTATTAAAAAAAAAAAAACATATGTAAACGATGATAAAATTGAAACCTCATGTAGAAAAATAGTGCAAACAATGCGTACCAAATGACTCTCGAATATCAAATTTATAATTTTACTACGCAATTTCACGAAATTACAACACGGTGTTATAAAATTGTAAGTTTACTTGGAATTTTATCATGAATGTATATTAATTCACTGTTAGGACATCAAGTTTATAATTCTACCGCGACCTTATCTACTAAAAGTGTATGAATTATATGAACTTTTTTTTTAACAGTGTAATTACGCACCTTGTCCATCGATCGTGGCAGTGTCGCGTCGCGGAATAAGGCTCGATAATTCGCCGTTCACCGATGTTTTTTACCCTCGGGCCCGACAGGACGGCGAAAGTAAAGGCCTCGTCGAGAACGCCCGGGGCGAGAACAAGAGGGACACCCCCGACTTCGATTCGGCCTTCCCTTTCGATATTTCTGCGCCAATTCTGTTTTTTTCATTTACATCCTGCAACGCCTTACAGTGCATACACCCCTAGTAGCACAAAATATTTCTCCTATATTTTCAATATATTTAACGAATATCGTANGAATGAAATTTACAAGAGATCTTAAATAATCTGTCGCTTCAGATATTTAGCAAAGATTACAAAGAAATATTTATAAATTATTCTATGCTACTAGGGACCGCGAGGATGTAAGTCGAGTAACTGATAAGCGATGATAATCGAGAGAGAGGGTGCGATCGAGTTCCTGCACGCAGAAAAATAAGTGCTTAAAAGTGACAGATGCCAATCTGTTGGAAACTTCTGTTCCCGATACGGTTAAATGCTGTTCCATTAAACAATTAATTCAGCTAACTTAACTTTCTCACGTGTATAAGTAGCAGAAACATTTCTGCAAAAGCCATCTGTAAAAGCTGCCGAAACTCTAGCCAGATAGAAATTCATGATCATCATATGATGAGGAAAATTAATTCAGCTAACTTATGATGAGAAAAATTAATTCAGCTAACTTATGATGAGGAAAATCAATTCAGCTAACTTATGATGAGGAAAATCAATTCAGCTAACTTATGATGAGGAAAGTTATTTCAGCTAACTTAACTTTCTCACATGTACAGGTAACAGAAACATTTCTGCAAGAGACATCTGTAAATGCAGCTGAAACTCTACCCAGGTAGAAATTCATGATCATCATATGATGAGGAAAATCTATTTACAAACAATTTGCGGACAATGTACTGCATGAAATGTCCGCAATATATAAACCTGGAAAGGAGCACAAAAACAGGCAAAACAGGACATTTAAACAAATTCAGGAAGTCTGAGATTAGACAGCGAATAAGTTACCGAAGGTCAAGAATATTAATGGTACATCGATCTCGTTAAATTTACTAAACTGGTATTTCTCATATCACTAAGTATACAAATATCCATTTAAATGCCAACTCGACAAGGTATAATCAAAATGATTGTTCGCTGTCTCTTCCCTGTCAATCCTGACAAAATGTTATATAAGAAAATATGAGGGACAACGTGGCCAAAAATTGGATGGCTGCCCATTCGAAAGAATGGAAGGCCATCGTAGTTGCCCTCTTCTTAAGGGGCCGCTTCGGCATATAGCCTCTTCGACTCTTGCAGTCTCTTCGGGCAGAGCCCCCTACGTCTCGAACGCTTGGCAATCCCCTGATTTGTCGGATTAATAAAAAAAAAAAACAAAAATCACTCGCGGGGAGATCCAAAAGCTAGCAAAACGACGACCTGCGATCCAAGGATGCGCAGTCCGTGCGTATTGCACATTTATTCGATTCCCAAGCGCGGTCTAATTAATTTTATTGCTGAAAGAAAATTGATACAATCGCGGATATATCACAGGGTGGACACATCCTCCGCGCTTCCGGAAGCGCGGACGATGGAAGATTACCCCAGGTTCGGGATCTCCTCCCAAACCCCCAAGAAGAGATCCCGCCCTGGCCCTGCCTGCTTACATCTAGACATTCACTCAAGACAACTGACCTACCTCCCTAGCTATATCTAAAAGAAAAAACACATTCGTCCCAACACACTCACTCCACGGTTCTCTCTCATTCCGCCCGGGGACAAAAAGCCTAATCCTAGGGACAGCATCCCGGGATGCCTCCGACCCCCGAGCTCAGTTCTCACACTCATACGTTCCGATTGCCATCGCCAGTTGAATGAAAGAAAAATTAAACTCGTTCACGGAATCGAAACGCGGATGGCAATCGAAGGGATTCGCGAAGTTTCGGTTTACCACGTCTCCTGGCCCCGACCCGATCGACTCGCTCCTGGAGGAGACGAAGGGTGGGGGCCAGCAAAGAACGCGGCCACAAGAAAAGGCACCTACCGTCGTAGAGGCTGAAAAAATCCTAAGCTGATTAATTTATACATCGTTGAAACGAGCTACTGACTCTATTCGATATCGATATTTCATAATTTCTCCAAGAAATAAAGGCCAAGCCCAGCACGCACTACGGCCCCAGGGTAGTGGAAGGCTTGGCCAAAAACAGCTGAAAATCCTGAAACGTTCCTCTCGTCGAGGCGGCGACTCTAAATCGATCCGCAGGCACATCGAAGTGCCACCTCGACTCGAGGTCGGTTCCTCGCGAGATCCTCCTCCCAAGTCTTTTTAAAATCATCCGAAGATATGTCGCGAAACCGATGGCCCCGAAGTCGGAGGGTCGTCCGACTTCCCGGCGCATGATAAAGAAACGCGAAACGTATTCTACCGCGGACCCAGGAGAAAGCTATTCCTAATCTAAATCAACACACAAGAAATAAACAAAGTTCACGCGGCCACTCGCGAGTCGGCGAGCGGTCACTCCCCGTCCACTCGCGGTCCCTCAAACAAATCATAACGTACAACCGATCCCCGTGCCGGTACGGACCTTTCGTCCTGCGACATGAAGGGATCGGAGGAAGGAAACGTTGAGACTTACCAACGGGACGATTCGTCTTTTTCTGGCGGTACTCCCCCAGGAGATCCCTCCGCAGAGACCTGGGGTTTCTGGCCTCCTCTCCATCTGCCTCCCTTCGACGTTGGCTCTGGCTGCATTCCACCTTTGTGTCCGCTTCCACTGCTTTCGCTGCTTTCTCTGCTTTCGCTGCATTCGCTGCATTCGCTGCATTCGCTGGATACCCTGGATACGCTGGATACGCTGGATACACTGGATACCCTGGATACGCTGGATACACTGGATACCCTGGATACGCTGGATACACTGGATACGCTGCCTCCGCTGCCTTCTCTTCTCACAGTAATCACTGCATTCCACATTTGTGTCTGCTTCCGCTGCCCTCGCGCCCCCGCCATTTTATTAATTTTTGACATCATACCGCGCCAAATTTTCAGGGTCAACTGGCGATCCGCCGGCCGGGCCGCAATCCCCGGCCGTGACCCGACTCCGTGATTGGACGACGTCACCGGCCCGATAAAGGACCGTGATTGGTCGATTTTTTTCGGAGGCGGTACAGGGTTTGGAGTTTTTGTGAGGAGTTCATCACTTTTTCCGCCGGTTCTCGGGCTGCCCAGAGTTGTAACAGTTGGCAAGTGCATTAGCCGTCTGCATCCTCCACCGGAGGTCGCACAGGACGCGGTCGCTCGATCCTTCCCGTGAATCTCTCAACTCATCTCTGATTTGGCAGAGATGAGTTGGGAGATTGCCATAATGGTAAGCCACCACCGTCAACTGCCGCATGGTATTACCATCGCGAATACGTGAGCCGCCAACGGCAACTGGTAGATGGCACAGCCATCGCGAGTGCGCGAGCCCCTACCAGAAATTCGTTGCGCCGCCCTTGGGGGCCAAGAACGGTGAAAGCTAACGTACGAAACCAGAGGGCAGCACACGGTGCGATCGCGCGACCCTGCCCGTGAGCAATCTCCCAGCTCATCTCCGTAACAAACGCCCTGACTGGAAATATAGAATCGTCCCGAGACGTAGTGTTGTCGCGGAAGCGACAACTATCGGTAGTTAATGATATCGTTACATAAGTATCTACACCGAGGTGCAGAATCCCGCTACCTGGTCGGTCCTCTTGGTGCACAAGCCAATTTTGATCAGACGTCAATAATCGTTTATCGAGTTTTATGAACGTCTCGACGTTTATCCATGCACAAGTCACTTGGAAAAATTGCCAAAAGGTACATTTGACAGTTTCCGAAGCGGTAATTAGCGTGTCATTCAATAAATCGCTCATCGGAGACATTTAATTCGGCCTAACCTCAATTCTTACGTTTGACATGCGTGCGCTGTCAACTGGCACATGCTTTCTTCCAAAGCAACTCGACATAAATATTCTCTTAACGAGGAATAGGTTGTGTCTGGTTAAAAGGATTTAACGTCCTTACAGAATTTCTTTTTTTTTAAACTTAGGTCTAGGGAGATTATAAAGTGATATTTATGTTTCCAGACTTTACGGGCCAAGATTGTTATTCAGCTGTCAAGTAAATGCGAAAGTGAGAAGTGTGAGTCTTTGCGCCGCAAGACGTAAGGTCCATATAGCAATGCTCGACGAAGAAAAGATTCGTGACGTCGAGGTGGTAAATCCTGAGATTAACGGTCTGTCGTGGCTACACGGAGCAGCACCAGGCTTTCCTGTCCGTGGATCTAAGGTTACATCATAACTCGAGAATTGAAATATATATCTTAATCGAGTAGCGAATGTCCAAACATGTTTCTTATTCATCCACAGATTACGATCATTCACGAGCCTTCCATCTTTTACTCAACTCTCTTGGAAAAATGTCAAACAGCTCAGAAGAGAATAACCCTTGCCTCGCTTTATTTGGGTACAGGAAAATTAGAAACAGACCTGGTAATGGACATATCTCTCTCACTCTCTCTCCTTGCCGTAAATAATACAGTAAAGAGTAAATATCTTCATCTAGGTATCTACGATAGAAAGTAGTCTAAAGGCAAGCAACGGTGGAATTAGGGTGACAATTTTGCTGGACTACATGAGAGGCTCCCGAGGTAAAGTCAACTCTCGAAAAATGTTGGAACCACTGCTTCGCAAGGAATGGAGTCAATGCTGCACCGTGTTCCTATATCATACACCGAGACTTCGCGGATTGTTAAAAGCTGTAATTCCTGATCGATTCAATGAACTGATCGGCCTGCAACACATGAAACTGTACATGGTGGACGACGCGCTTATCATCAGTGGGTGAGGGTGCAAAGCCTATAAGCGGATCGAATCATCATTATCTTAATAACTATTCAATCAATTTATACACTTTCAGAGCAAATTTAAGTAACGACTACTTCACCAATCGGCAAGACAGATACTTCCTGATCGAAGACTGCAAAGAGCTCTGTGACTTCTACGACAATTTAGTTAAACGTGTGGGAGAGTTCAGTTTCCGACTCTTGCCTGACGGAGAGACAACCTACGACACCGAGATAGATTCTCATCCAACCAAGAGCTCTCACGAGGACTTTGCCGAAGCTGCTGCAGAGAGGATACGTACTCTCTTCCAGGAGGAGATGAATAAACACACCGAGGCCACAAAACGTGGTAATAATAGTTCCTAATTCTCTAGACAAATTCGCTGAAACTATCTCCTTAAATATAAATCTATCTAGAGGACTCTTCGGAGTCAGACACATGGGTCTTTCCTCTCGTACAAATGGGACAGCTAAATATCTGGCACGACAGCGAAGTGACCTTACGTCTTCTACAGACAGCACCTCCTGGAGCGACTCTCAGGTTAGCGACCGGTTACTTCAATCTAACCTCCGAGTATGGAACCGCCCTGCTCAAACAATGCCAAGCATCGTGTCAACTTCTAACTGCCCACCCCTCGGCTAATGGCTTTTTTGGTGAGTAAACAGTCTCGGAGGATTTCCCCTGCGGACCAAATAAACGAATCGAACTATCTTTCACTCAGGTGCAAAAGGAATCGCTGGAGGTATACCAGCAGCGTATACATACATCGAGGACACCTTTCTCAAGACATGTGAGAGGTTAGGCCAGGAAGAGAGAGTTACCCTCTGGGAATTCACCCGTCCAGGATGGACCTACCACGCCAAGGGTCTTTGGTACTCCCATCCAGGACAACGGAAACCCTGCCTCACCCTCGTGGGCTCCCCGAATTTCGGTAACTATCCCAAAAAATCTCACCACCCAAACACTCAAATTAATATTCCATTCCCATCCAGGATACAGATCGGTTCGCAAGGACTTGGAGACCCAGGTAGCCGTAGTGACTCGTAACGAGCAATTGCAAGAGGCAATGCAAAACGAGCACGAGAGGTTATTCTCCAGAGCCCATCCCGTCAACAGGAAGAACTTCACCGAACGAGAGAGAATAGCGCCACCCTGGGTCTGTGCCGCCGTCGCTTTCTTCCGATATTACTTCTAACCTAACCTAGAACACTGGAACACTCGTCTACACCTTCAACGATGAAATAAAAAAAAGGAAATCAATCCCTATCAGCCTTCTGTGTCGGAGAAAATCTGAAACTCTCTCTCTCGCATGGTAAATTTATTCCGAAACCAATGGGATAAATAAGAGGGGGGACTCTGTGGGATAAAATAGATACAAGTAATACTCCCGCGAACGATCGCGGCGACCACTATTCTGTAGGGGACGTGATAGAATTTGACGGTACTACGATTGCGACGCCTCCCGCGGGGCGTCCGACCGATCGGCTTCAGGCGCGCCGCGAGGCGTCGATTATGCGTTGCAATTATGGTTACAATTAATCCGCAGCCTCGTTTGCCGGTCATAGTTTCGACTCCGTTCCGGCGTCTTCCGAACTGCGTCTCCTGGCTCCTTCGACCTCCTTCCGCGCACCAGAGGTTTCCAAATCCGGCAGGCGAAGAAAAAAAACCCTTTCCCTCTCGCCGGTCTACTTGTCGTCGATGACGAAGTTCTCTTCTTTGACGAAAAATTCAACGACCTCCTCCTCCATGTTCTTTGTGTCGGAGTCCAGCTCATCGGTGTCGATGCCTGAAAGCGGATTCAAGGTCGCGTTTAATATTAGCCGGATCAAAATTAGGGCAACTAATTTTATCACAATGTTTCACTTACTGCATCGCAATTGAAGTCGCTGCTGCTTCTGGCTGTTCCATTCCTCGGCACGCCTCTGTCTGTACTCCTCGAAGGACTTCATCAGGGTGCAGCGTTTCTCGATGAGTTCCTAAATCGAATTGACAGCGTCAAGATCCTTCGGTCTCATTCAAGATATAATTATTTAACGTTTATCGAAACAAGCGGAAACCTTGGAAGCTCTCGTAAGACGCATGCGATCCTTGCTCTCAAACTGCGCCGAGTACTTCTTCAGGTTCTTCTTGATCTCCTTGATTTGCTCCGCTGTCAACAAGGTTGGTGGCCTCGGTCGCCACAACAATTGATTGAAACCAGTTAGGTTAACCCTCTTCAGGATACGCCCTTGGAATGTCCAGATCCAGTAACCGTTGTCTACACTGGTCTTCCAGCTCGACACAGCAGTAATGACGTACCTGAGAGAATGATTAAATTAAATGTACGTAGAGTCCTCTACGTCAAGCCTGTCAAAAATTCATCCAGTGGAGAATTACCTTCCGGTGGGATCCCATTCGACATCGGAAGTCTGATAATGATCCGTTGAGTTCATGATGGTGAAGTCATTCGTGTCGATGAACTCCAAAGCTCCAGCCATTGTCGTCAGGCCAGCAAGGACGATAAATTGTCCAGATGGGGACCAGAACAGATGATTGCAAGCTTTCTTCTCCAACTTCTCTGAAAGGACAATGTCCGCAATTAGCATAATTGTTTACACCTCATTCGTGCACTTGTTAATTTTATGTAGATTTTTAACTTACTTAGGAGAGTAGGCTGATGACCAAATCTGACTTCGTAGAAGCTGACGTTCACACTGGGAATCTCTCCATGGATTATGGCAAACTTTGAACCGACAGGTTCCCATGCGAACGCATGAATCGGCTCCTTCATCTCCACACTGTCGACGGGGATTTGTTTCTCGCGCATGTGGAAGATTTCGAAATTGTACGATATTCCCTGAAAGATTTGACATTCTCGTGGAAAAATACTTAAAATTATATTACAGATTTTTAGGACAATGGATAATTTCAGTACCGTGTACTTCTGCTCGGTCTTCTCCTTCCGCTTGGCGAATCGGTCAACCTTCACGCAAAGATAATCACCGGACTTCTGCCAGAAGATCTTGCAATCGGCTACATTAAACAGATTCTTGTTACGAATCTCGTTACGACTAAAACATTAATATCACATATTAATTTACAATAACTGTAATACTTTTAATAACTCTAGTCTTACTTTGGAATTTCTTGTAGCGTCACTCTCGCAGGGACATCTTTGTCTTCAGGAACCCAGTAGGCGAGAATGTTATCCGTTGGAGACCAGCTGAAGTCTCTGATTCCAGGGATCTTGATACTCTTCTTCTCTAGCAAACCAAACGACTAAGGAAAAAAAATAATTTAGTCACCCAGTCATTTAATTTTACCACATTTGCGCTTCTTGAAATGTACTCACTGGTGTTTCGTATATGCTGAGGATATCTTCGCCCATACGAGCCAGATATTTGTCGTCATGGGACCATCGGAAGATGGGCCAGACGGAAGATCCATCTGGATAGAAAGATCTCTTCTCCTGACCAGTGAGAATATCCCAGATGATAAGACGTTTCTGATCTGCAGTGCCATCAGGACGTGGAGTGTACGTAACAAGATAACGTTCACACGGGGAATAGTCGATACACTCGACACCTCGCTGACCAAATCGAGCTTGTTGAGTAAAGTTTGGTCCACCCCAAAGAGCTACACCAAGCTTATGGAAAGTGGAAAGGTACGTTCCTAATGGGGACCACTTCACATAAGTCTCGGTCCACCTCTGCAATGCAATAATAGAATTAAGAAACAATAAATTATTTACCCTGCTATGACGAGAAAGGGAACCTCTACACCTACCGCTCGCTCCTCGAGCAGAGTTGGCTCAGGTGCAGAATTTTGCCAGATTTGCACGGAAACGGTAGCTCCGTTTCCACTAAGCACACAAAATTGATCGTACGCATCGGGCTCGAGAAGATAATAGTGTAGATCTCCTGCAGCTTTGTACGGTTGTGGCTTAGGAGGCTCCCAGTCTTTCGGGATGTCCTCAAACTTCTTGAAGTCGGTGAACAGGTTAACTTTAAACGTATGCTGCTTGTCGAGCTTATAGTTGTTAGCTGACTTAATGGCAGCAAGGGCAGACTGTGGATTGTTGTACTCCAGAAATATGTACCTGTTCAAGAGATCGTCAATGTTTCACGAGCCACTCGAATTGAATTTTAATTACTACACGTACCCCTTGGTAATGTTGTTCTCATTAGTGGGATAGTATTTATTGACAATCGTCCCGAACTTCCCAAAAACCTTGTTAATAACTGCCTGCAGTTTCTCAAGACGCTGCGGCTCAACCTGTGGCACACCGTCGACAACAATCACTGCTTCAACTCCATCCGCCTCCGATGGCTTTTGCGACATCAAATCCGACAACAACTCTGAAATAAAATCACGCACTGCTTGATCAAAGTCCACCTTCCATTCCTAAGCACGAGGAAAACCGACGAGCGGCGTTCTCAATTTTGAGGTTAAGTCGCATGCCTCGCGTTCGGACCCATATGCAAAGAGTAGCCCAGAGGCCGGGTGACGTTCACGTTTTTGGAGGTTAAGAAGGTACTCACCTTCGTCAGGGATGTCGTCAACGAATCCCTCGGAATCGCTGAAATCCGGCTCCTCGTCCTCGTTGACCGCGGCATCGTTGTTCTTCGTCCCGTCTTCATTTTGTGGAGGTTTATCGAGCGACGTTTTCTTCGCCATCTTGGAAACCTCTGCGCGTTCCGCGAGCCCGGTCAAAATGGCAGCGACCGACCGCAAGCCAGCGTCTCCATCACTCAGTAAAACGCCCTTGAATCCAACACGCAACGAGAAAAGGAACCGAACATCACGCAACGTGTGCTCGCTGCGACCTACCGCCCCGCCATGTTTAAATCACAGTCCTACGTCCATGGACTAATGCCTGCATTTTAAATACTTTTGACGATCACCCAACCATAACTAATGAAATTTTATGTCATCACCTCGCAGATTCGTTAATTCGCATGTCTATTAAATCGGGAATTGTAGGATTCTTGAGTGATTAAGTAGAGTCTGAACGTAGAACGTATCCGTACTAAACATGAACCAGTTTCGGCCCGCGGGCACTAGATGGCGTTGAAGGCGGCCACGCCCAACCGTCGAGAGCCGCTGCCGCCTGACGACGCTGCGCCGAAACCGTTACGTAGCACGCGTTCTTTTTTATCTCAAGTTTGTACAATACCTACAGTTTCGAGAACTTTTTCGTGTTCGCCGTGTTCACCTCAGTCGATATGCGAGCAAGACGGAAGGAGTTTGAACCGGCGTTACCTAAATGACGACACCACGCCATCGATATCGAAGGAGGAGAATTCCTGAGGACTTCGTTCTGATTGTTTGGGTAATAACCGCAACCTTTTATGTTTATTGCGTACACGGAACAACAATACTCATGTTTCAGACCATATATTGTAAAAGGTTGATTGTTGTCAACCATGAATCGCGTAAGTTTAAACAGTAAAGTAATAATGAACGAGATAAAGATTTGACGTGCGTCGACCGGTACGAGCACGAATCCTAACCTCGTCCTGACTCCAGGGTAGGATTTTGTGCAATTTAATATGCCTAGGCTAAGATCTATTCTAATGCTTCCCTATTTCTGTCCTGACTCTATCCTGGACAGCTTAACATAGGGTCAACGAACAGGTCTACGCAGTTTGTCGAATCCTAGAAACAGGCGACAAACTGCGGAGACCTTCTGGAATAAAAATTTCCTCCGCTATCAAGATAATTTTCATTGTTTCTAGATCTAGTCTATGTAAGGTCTATTCTATGCTTCCCTATCTCTGTCCTAACCCTATCCTAGACAGCTTAGCATAGGGTCAACGAACAGGTCTACGCAGTTTGTTGAGTCCTAGAAAGAGGCGACAAACTGCGGAGACCTTCCAGCATAAAAATTCCCTCCGCAATCAAGATAATTTCCATCGCTTAATTAAGACAAGTCGGCATCATGACTGACCAAAAGAAGACTCCAGAAGAGGGCGAGAAACTGCAGAGACCTTCCAGGATAAATATTCCCCCCGATATCGAAGTTACTTCCTTCGTTTAATCAAGAAAGATCACCATCGTTATCGACCAGCAGAAGACTAGAAAAAGGCGAGAAACTGGAAAGTTCTTTCCCCATAAATATTCCCCCCATTAGCAGGATAATTTCCTTCGTTTAATCGAAGGAGATCGTACTCTTGGTCGTTGACCAAAAGGAGAGTTCAGAAAAAGGCGAGAAACTGCAGAGGGACCTTGTAAGAGGTACGACGAGGAGCAGGTGGTGCCCGCATGGCGGTTGAAAAAGTCTGACATCGACTCTTGACAGCGGGAATTAAGCGTCGATTTGGCCATCAAGAACAAAGACGAAGAAGTCCCTGAGGAAGGTGGGCGCCGTTTAGGGAAACAAAGTCGGCCGACAAGTTGAGCCCTGGGCGGGCCGAATATTTATTCGAGAGAGGACTTCGGTGTTCCCGGGTGCATTTGGGGATCCCCTGAACACAGACCAAGAGAAGAGGAGACCTGCCGGGATATCGGTACCTTTGCCTTCGCAGGACAAGGAACATCGCGAATACGCAGCTGTCGGACCGAGCACCTGCCCTCTGCGATCAATCCTCCTGCTCGCCCGAAGTGCAACGATAAATGCACGCGCCAAGTAAACCTGCATCCTTAGGAGCGTCGCCGAAAAGCCGCTCACTTATTCGGAAAACTCATTCTTTTAGCCGTTTAAGTATCAGAGGTTTTTATAATAAATACCGTCGAAAAATGCCGAGCAGCCCGATAGCGCTTTCTGAATGGGATGCTAAATGATCCAAAGGCACGATAACGCTCCTTTTATTCTGTGTCGAAAAATGCATGCGCAACGATATATGTGCCCATAATTATGAAAGTGGTCTAAGTCAAAATTAAAAAAAAAAAACATGAGTTTATCAGTTATTTCCATATTATTTCCCATATTATTTCAAACGAAATTAATTCAATGTAATTTCGAAACAAAAAATATATGACTTAGACCACTTTCATAATTATGGGCACATATGCACGCACCAAGTAGACCTGCATCCTTAGGAGCGTTGCCGAGAAGCCGCTCACCTATTCGGAAAACTCATTCTTTTAGCCGTTTAAGTGCCAGAGGTTTTTATAATAAATGCCGAGCAGCTCGATAGCGCTTTCTGAATGGGATGCTAAATGACCCAAAGGCGCGATAGCGCTCCTTTTATTCTGTTGTCGAAAAATGCACGCGCTAAGTAAACCTGCATCCTTAAGAGCGTCGCCGAGAAGCCGCTCATCTATTCGGAAAACTCATTCTTTTAGTCGTTTAAGTACCACAGGTTTTTATAATAAATACCGTCGAAAAATGCCGAGCAGCCCGATAGCGCTTTCTGAATGTGATGCGAAATGATCTAAAGGCGCGATAGCACTCCTTTTATTCTGTGTCGAAAAAATCACTTTTCGTAAAAGTGTAGAAAGTGTAGGCAAAACGAGCAAACCTAAAGTGTTAACTTTTCGTAAAAGTGTAGAATGTGTGGGCAAAACGAAGGAACCTATTATCTCGAGTTTGAGATATCCGACACTGCTGGCAGTTCCACGGGGTTGGGACCTCCCCTTCAAGGGGGTCTCCTCGGGTCCTTTTTTTACCGGCCAGAAACCTCGAAAAGGGACTTTTCTCACGACGCGTGATGTCGCACCCTGGAGGCCGACTCTTTTTTGTTTTTTTTTTGTTTTTTTTCTCTCGAAAAGCCTCGTTCACTCGGCAGGAGTCTCGATCCGATCGAACCATATAACGAGAAGAGACGCGAGACCCCATCGAAAATATACTCGTAAATATAGATTAATAATGGTCTAGACCCCCACTTGTAAACGCGGGTACTTGCACTTGGGTATATAAATCGATGAGTCGTCCAACGGCAGCGCCGTTGATATTCCGTCGACGTTATCTTCCCTCTCCCTCCTTTAGTCACGTACTTGCCAAGTTCAATTATGCAACTACGTAAACTACATGTCTCTTTGAGATATTCTGCGATTTTTGTTCCTCGTGGTTTTAACCCTTTACACTCGAGGCCTTTTTCGCAAGGACGACATGGACATTTACAGGAATTATATATACATCTTGTTTCCGCATCAAACGAAATGGTGACAAGGAAGGTATTCCAGGTCGATCTCTCCGATTTGATTTCTCTTATAATATGTTATAGACTAAAAACTAAGCGTTATATATGTTATAAGCGCTATAATATGTTATAGACTAAAAACTAAGCGACACGTATTTTTTTTTATCTGCCATTATACACTTTAAGGGGGTGAAACCACCATTCAAAGTAAGGCATGTCAAGGGGCGATTTGGCAGTTTCACCCCCAAGAACATATCTTTTACCCAATCCACCTGGACAAGATTTCTCATAACGAGAAATGAAAAATATAATTTTCTCAATTAAAAAAGAAAAAAAGAAACGATTAAGGGGTGAGCCACCCCTTTGTCTTACTTTGGAGGGTGATTTCACCCCCTTAAAGTGTTTAATGGCAGATAAAGAAAATACGTGTTAGTTAGTAAAATTAATTAGTAAAAGTACGTTTTTAGTCCACTATAACATATTATAAAAGAAATGAAATCGGCGAGATCGACCTGAGATACCTTCCTTGTGAGAGTCACCTTGTGCAAAGGGTTAATTTAGTTTAATGGCAGATAAAAAAAATACGTGTTTAGTTAGTAAAATTAATTAGTAAAAATACATTTTTAGTCCACTATAACATATTATAAAAGAAATGAAATCGGTGAAATCAACCTGGGATACCTTCCTTGGGAGTCACCTCTTGAGTGCAAAGGGTTAATTTAGTTTAATGGCAGATAAAAAAAATACGTGTTTAGTTATTAAAATTAATTAGTAAAAATACATTCTTAGTCTACTATAACATATTATAAAAAAAATGAAATCTGCGATATCGACCTGGGACATCTTCCTTGTGAGAGTCACCTCTCGAGTGCAAAGGGTTAATTTAACTTAACGGCAGATAAAAAAACATACGCGTTTACTTAGTAAAATTAATTAGTAAAAGTACGTTTTTAGTCTACTATAACATATTGTAAAAGAAATGAAATCTGCGATATCGACCTGGGACATCTTCCTTGCGAGAGTCACCTCTCGAGTGCAAAGGGTTAATCTAGTTCGCATATGTATATTTCTTGTTTACTTCCAGGGCCAGGGAGGGAGGTGAGCTCGACGGAGAGGGAGGAAAGGTGGGCCCAGAAGTGCCGATTGGAGATCGGCGATCTCGCCGGCGGCGCTTTTCCCTCGGGACCCATCTGCCTTCCCGGATTGCGGGGCCCGTGCGCCGTGCCCAGGAACGAGAAGAGGAACGACGGGCCCACGGCATTACCAGCTGGCACGCGTCTCTCCCCTGGCCGCCATTATCATCGAGGAGGATCGTTTCGCGAGCGGAGTCCTCGGTCGGGGCCCGACTCCTCCTTCTGCCCGGGATTTTCGTCTTATTATGCCGAAACACCTGCCGGGCCCACGACCTGCCCAGGGACGGGGCCCGTCCGCGCGTGCGGCCCTGAGCTGAGCAGGGGCCCACCGCCCGGTTTCCTCGGACTCGCCTGTTTCTTTCTCTGTATTCATTTATTTCTCTCTTCTTTCTATCCTTTTCTTTCGCCCCCCCGTATCTTTTTACATGTTTTCCACGCGGGCCGTCTCTTAATAACAGGCGAGCTCGACAAGTGGGCCTCGATGTGGGCCCTCGCATTCTTTTTAGATTCTTATTGCGATTTTTCTTCTCGACTTGATTA